AGTTTCTCAGAATTCAGAGGGGAAATTCTTATGCAGCCCAACTTCTAGAGGCAGTAAGACTCCCTCTGTGTGTGTGTCTGTGTGTATGTCTTTGTACTTTATATATATGCTCAAATTCTTGCCCAAGGACAGTTCCAGACCAGCAGCAAGTAATCAGTTTTCAAGGGCATGTTACTAAATTGCGACCTCCAAGACACAATGTGGCACCAAAAAAGTATATTTAAAATAGTATTTAATTTATGAAGAAATACAAAAGCAAAGAGAATATGAGTGCATCTTCAGTGTTTAGAAAAGGGATGGAATTCCAAGAGTAAGGAAAAGAAGGGACATCGGTGGGGTCACCTGAAAGGAAGCATGAACCACAGAGATAAATAGCCATGAAAGGAATTGAGCAAGACTTTAAGCAAATGTAAAAGGTGGCGTTCCCATCATTTGGGACCCATGCTGCTCCTGAAAGTCTTAATTTGACGTTGTCTTTTACACTGATAGCCACAAAAGTCTGTTACCATGTAAAGGTGGGAGAAAGAGACAGATGAATTCACTCAGGGGCTGTTAAACTGAGGGCTGGATTATGAGATTGTGTGGTAGTTTTTCCATTTTTAGGGTTTCTGGAAATTTGCCCCATTTTTATAGAGGACTAACGATCTGGATTTAAGATCTAATGGGTATGTTTCCTGTGTCTGTTGGACTTGACATTCCACAGAGAGCCTTCCCTTCCAGTCAGATTCCAGACCAAGATTAGTATTGAGACAGCTTTGGTTGCACTTGTGGATGACCTGTAGGGCAACTGGGATGGGGGTGGTGCATCCTTGACCTCTCAGGAACCTTTGATACTATCAATCACAGTACCCTTCTGGAGCACCTTAGTGGCTTGGGAGGGTGGGGCATTGTATTGAGGAGTTTCTTCTGTTTCTTCCAGGGCTGGTTCCAGTCAATATGGGGTGGACCAGTCTAGTCCTAGCACCCTGCTTTGTGGGGTGCTTTAGGACTCTCCTCCCTCATTTTTTTAAACATCTACATGAAGCTGCTGGGAGAGGTAATTCATCAGCATTTGTGCAGTGTTATCATATGCCAATTCTACTTAGTTATACATTTCTGTCCCTGGCTATTCAAGTGAAGAAGTCATGGTTCTGTCCCAGTGCCTGGAGGCTGTGGGGGTCTGCATGGGGGAGAACAGGCTTCAGAGCCAGCCTAACAAGGCTGTGGGTTTTTGGCCCCATCAGTCCTAGAACCGGAGAGGTGTCATCCTTGACTATGAGTGGGATTGCACCTCCTCGCTTGGGTTTAGTGCATACTTTGGGGGTCCTCCTGCACTCATGGCTCCTGTTTGAAGATCAGGTGGCAACGGTGGCCAGGGGACCCTTTGTAAAATTTCATCTTGTATGCCAATTGTGCCTATTCCTGGATTAGACCAAGAAATGGATGCCATGGAGGCCTAAAACTACTTTTACTAAGATTGGATAAAGCAATAGAATCTTGCAAGTCTGAATGTGCTTCCATTCCTCCCTGTTTTACATGTCATGTGAATCAGCCTAGTTTTTGTACACCTTCCCCGTCATTTGGGCTTCTGCAATATTTATTTCCTCACTGGCTTGGTAATGGATCTTCCCTCTCTCCATCAAGGTCATCCTCGTTACTCTATGTGGACACTGCACACAATTGCTCATGCCTTAGTCATCTCCTGATTGGATTATTGCAATGTGCTCTTCATGGGACTGCTCTTGAAGACCATCTGGAACCTTCACATTTGGGCTTCTGCAATATTTATTTCCTCACTGGCTTGGTAATGTATCTTCCCTCTCTCCATCAAGGTCATCCTCGTTACTCTATGTGGACACTGCACACAATTGCTCATGCCTTAGTCATCTCCTGATTGGATTATTGCAATGTGCTCTTCATGGGACTGCTCTTGAAGACCATCTGGAACCTTCAATTGGTCCAGAGTGCAATGGTGTGGGTAGTTATGTGCGCCTCTCGTTATGACCATGTGACATCTCTACTCTATGAGTTGCCATGGCTCCCAGAAGGCTTCCAGGTGCAATTCCAGGTGCTGGTTATCACCTATAAAGCCCTACATGGGATAGGACTAGTTATTTGCAGGCCAACTGCTCCCAAGAGTATGTACCCATTTCATATACTCTGGATTCCCTCACTTAAACAATGTTATCTTAGGAGATGCAGGTCTCTATGGTGGTACCAGCCTTTTCTAATGAACATCCCCCAATATAGGGTTGGCCCCTGCCCTAAAGGCCTTTAGAAAAGCAGTTAAGATTTTTCCATGGGCCTTTGGGTCAGGATGAGCAGAGTTCCCAACTGAGGAATTTCTGATCACCATTTTATTTTCTTAGAAGGTTTTAATTAAATGTATGGTTTTCTAATATATTTGTTGATGATTTTTTTCTTTTTGTATGCTGCCCAGAGTCATATTGTCTGAGTTGAGTAGCCATATACAGGTATTCTCCAGTTTAAGAATGAGTTCCATTCCCATGATCTGACCTTAAGTTGAATTTTTATGTAAGCCAGAACAGTATTTTTGTATAATACTTTGTAAGTAGTATTGTGTATTTAACTTGAATCATTGTGTATTTAACTTGCATTTTGCTACAATAGGCTCATTTCTTAATTATGGGCTGTCTTTAAACCAGGTGTTCTTAACCCAGGGTACCTGTAAATGTTTTAAATAAATAAAATAAAAATAAACCAATCAAAATTCTTTTGCTCTGGTAGCCTTTAATCAGATGCAGATATTTTTATGTAGTTAAATGGTTGGTGCATGAATTTGGGGATAAAGCGAAATA